ACTTTTTCTAGCACTCTCTACGTCGCAATAACGGTATCAAAATGCCATCATACTAGTTTCATCTTTAAGTTTAAAAAAATTATTATTTGAATGTGTATTGTCGTCTTCAAAATTTTGACGATTTGATTGATCAAAATAATCACGATTCAGAGATTTAGCATATTACAGGATCTCCTGTCTTCTCTTTTGAGATTTGTTCTGAGCACTTGAACTTTTATATGCATCTGAAACTAAAGAGAAAATATTGTTTGCTGAACGTCTAATTGATTATTATTGTCGAACAGCATCGAACGTTCATAATATAATTATTTATCGATTATTTTTTTCTTTGTATGCATATTTTCGTGCAGTATACCAGTTCCATCTACATGGTGGTTTAGCACATACACTAATGTTCGTATTTGAATAATTAATTAGAAATATACAACAAAACCCTCATCTAAGTTTCAATCTCGCTCCTCATATCGTAGATTGGAGCAATATACGATACACAGTGTGGCCGGACTAGTCTAAATTACCAAAAAGTTGCTCCATAAGCGTAAATACTGCTAAGAAAAAAATTGTATTTCGATTTTGCCTTTAAAACAAATATTTAGTTTATTTCATTGAATAATTACAATAAGTTAAAGATAGTAATGATTATATTTTATTTTCCTTCTGACTCATAGATTGAAGCAAGTTGAATGTTTTCTCTCTCTTCTCAGACAGAACAGACGAGAAAAAATAATCTCTTTGAAAATAACTACTCTCTCCAAATTTATTCCATTGTTTATCAACGATAAACGAACTTAATTTACTTTTCTTCCTTTCCTTTCGTCAATATAGCAATTCAATTTGTCTGACCTGTCATTGTTCAATCTCTTTCAATGTCTCATACTTCAATAACTCCTAGCAACATTCATTAGCAGGAACGTTTCGAAATGATGATATAATTTATATGCAAGAATTAAATAAGGATTGAAAAGGCTTTAAACAAACGACAAGTATGGTATTTTTTATTATTTCGTTAGAAATCGTTACAAATTGTTATACAGAGAATCCATCAATTATTATATAAATCAAAGCCAGATTTATATAACAGTGGAGTTTATACTCTAGTTAAAAGAGAAAAAACAGATTCATCATTCGTTTTCAATGAACGCAGCCTAAACATGAAACTGTTAACTCAAAAGACTCTAAAACTGCGTTGAAAAGGATCTTTCAAGAAGCTTCGACTAGCTTTTTATTTTTATTACGTAAAAAATTAATGCATCAATATTTTCTTTTGAAAATTTAGATTTTATTCTGAAGAGATTATTTAAATTACACTTCTAATATTTATGAAATGCTCATCTGAACTGGTATACGCACATATGAATATCAATTTAGGTACTTATTTTGCTTGAAGAATCAACTAGCGTCGATAATGATGATTCTAATTTTTCTTTATCTTCTGTGAGTATGATATTTTGTCATTTTCATACTTCGATTTTCTTTATTTAGATTTTTAAACAAACTGAAGGCGCGCCTAGTCTCCATTTACTAAAAATTCCTGGAACAAAAAAAGAAGCAAATATTTATGTAACCGCATTGACACAGCTGATTTACACATATGGATCAACTGGCTTCACTCACACTGGCTGATACCCATAACGACAACAGATATATGTTGGGTAAGGGCAAGAGTATCGATTTCTTCGTAAAGTTGATTTTCTTTATTTTCAGAAGCTGTTTGTACAATCTTTAAACTTAATGACAAGCAACCTGAACAAACATTCGCCGAAGGACTGTACATGAAGTTTTTCTTGCAAAAAACAAGTGGTCATCGCAAAAATGAAAATTACGAAACAATAATAAATTGTCTTTTTTATCCACGAGCTTATTCATTTTTTTAGTTGTTGATATACATTACTTGTATTTTTCTCTAATTTATTTAAATAAAATTTAAAATAAAATAATCATATAACTCTTCTAGAAACAAACTTTTAAATATGAACGGGTAGAAGGCACAGATGTGAGGAGGAGGAAGTACAGAAGTACCACAACTGATAAATATCTAATCCTGTGGTGCTCAATATTGTCTCATAACACCACAATATCGCGTTACTATGGTCATAGCGCCGTCATATGGCACTATCACAGTCATAGCGGAGCGCTAAAGGGGGTCACAATGTGATCGCTATAGCGCCGTTATAACGCCGCTACTTTACCGTTATCAACGACGTGGGTATTTTTCTCCAATAAAAAACAGAAACGACTGAATAAACTTTCATTGGTATTCGTTTGAACTTGGTTTGCGAAATATTTTTTATATTTTAAAACGAGCATTTTCAAAGAAATTCAATTCGTTTGCGGCGCAATCCTTGGGAGAACAGCTGATCTTTTAAGAGAGCTCAAATTGAATATAAAACTTGAAATTAAGAGTTTGCTATTCTGATTTTCGGTGACTATGATAAACATTTTATTAAGAGTATATTTGTGGGTACAGATGTTAGTCTTTTCTTCGCTTACATGCTATTTCTATTGCTGTGTATCTTCTTCTATGTGAATTTAATTATAGCTTTAATTTGAATATCACATTCCATTCGATACATCATTATTCGCGTTGCTTATTTTTATTATTTTTCTTTGAATTATTTATCTTGAGAAAGCCTGATAAGAAAGTATTGTCCGATCTTTACTTAAGCCTAGTAGCGATGATTGAAAAAATATTAGTTTTACGTGGATTACGAACTTCACTGTCGATTTTCATCATAAAATTGAGTATGACTGATAATGTTTTTGTCTATTAACAATATTCATCAATAACTTAAACAACAAGTCTTTGATCAATAGTGCATATTTGTAAGAAAGTGAAAGAAGAATAAAACCTATAAGCTATTTTAGAGGGTGTGGGTGGACATGGGTATGAGTGTGGTGTGAGTGTGGGTGTGGGTGTGAATGGAAATAAGAGCTACACCCATATCCGCACCCTATTGAAAAATATTCTTTACAACAAACTACGATGCAAACTGTCGCAGACTGTTGTTTGAAACGAAAAGAGAAATATTCATGCTGTTCGAACGTCTAGACATATTTTGTCTCCTCTGTCACCTCTTGCCAAATTTACCTAGTTTTGATAAGTCTCCCACCTTCTTCTTTCTGTAGACGTTCTTCATCGGTGAACCCTAACCATGATCATTCAAAAAAAAATTGTATAGTATATAATCAAATAGAAAACCAGATTTTTTTAAACATCGAACACAAATGTCAATTTAAATTATTATTTGAATTTTATTTATCAGTACGATAAACCATATAATCAAATGAGAAACACTATTTCATCGAATAATCAACTAAGAGTTGAAACTACAACACCATCAAATACATTAATCAATTCTATGTCAAGCCAAACTTCACTATATCCCATAGGTTATACTTCTTTTATTCAACCTTACAGTAAGCTTACGTATGTTTATAATCCAAATGGGCATTACGATCGGTCTTATTACACTAATCCTGATTATATACGATAGTATTTTCTCTGATACACTTTTGTCTAATAATTATCTCTTAGTCATCTTCAATATGAATTACACAAACATTGTATCTTCTGTGAAAAGCATTTAAGAAGAACAGTAAGAAACCGAAGAATACAAATATGACATACAAAAAAAACTACGATTGATATCTAAACTTAAATTCTATTCACTTCTGTTGATCTTTTTATTGTTTTTGAGTAAGAGAAGATTGAACTGTATACATTTCTTATATTTTCATCATCTGTATGTGACTATCCTTATTCTCATAAGTTATTCATTATTTGTAAACAAGTAGACAGTATGTTCATATTGCGATCAACATTCCTGAACAGCATTGACTCATATACACAATTCATTATTTTAACAAATAAAAATTCATAAAATCTGTGTACCCTCTATTCAACAAAAATTTGATTTGATAACAGGTAATGATAAATGGTATATTGAATAACCTTTGCACTTTGATAAAATGCTTTATGAGACTATTCGTAAATATAGACACTTATATAATTTTCATTGATGTCAATAATACATCAGATATGTATGAAAGTTAATTGACTGAATGAATTTGTGCTTTTGTCCGATAAATCAGTTTATGTCTATTACAAAAGTTATTGCAAGGGATTCAACAATTGTGTTCATTGGATGTAATTGTGATATTTGATTTCGCTTTATCCAGGAATAAAACAAAAAGATCTGAGTTTCGTTGTTGATCACGATTTAATCTTGTTTGAATTAACAGTCTTTATCCGAAAACCTTGATTTTTATGGTTCACATTTTCAAAATTTAGGTATCTAATGTAAAATGAATGAGAATGATTATATGCGATGCATTCGACATCCATGTGTTCGTACTGCAACATTTCACAAAAAAACATTTTCAAGTGATCGTTAGTTTTTGAGTTCCGACGATGTGCTTAAGATAGGTCCTAGTGAGACATAAGAAGCATCCGAAAAGGAGAAATCCCCAGAGCCCTTCTGTCTGGAGTTATATGCATTTGATTGAAATTTTTGACAGGGTGTGGGTATGGGTGTATGGGTGAGCGTGTGCTTGTGTGTGTGCGTGAATGTGTACTTTTCATCTACACCCACACCCACATGCAGACCTTGCTGCAATTATATTTATAACTTAATGAAAATTTATCTTTGCCTTGCTAGTGTGAGTACCAATGAAATTTTTGAAATTTTAATTTACTTTCAAAATTGGGTTAGGCAACTATTCAATAAAGTCATACAAGATTTTATAATCAAATTATTTAATCTGACTTATCAGTTGTTATATATATGTATATATTGGTGTCAGATTTATTTTCTGAATTATAATTATTCGATGCTCCTAAATATCGAAATTCAAGTTTTTTCATTATTAATTGTCAAAATAAATAAATAAAGAGATAACTTCCTATAGTAAATAACAGAATTTAAATAAGCAAAAAAGAAAAACCCATATGTATGCACACGAAAAAAAATAAAAATCGATATACATATGAAAAAAAGAAATTATGTCACTGTTGTTTTCATGATCACTTCATTTAATATATCATCTAAACATAGACGAACATCACTTTCAATAAAATCAATCATTATTGGACATGAACATCCGGCCATAGGTTCAACAATTGATGATTCAATAAAACGACTTGGATCTAAACATGCTTCTTGTAAATCACGAATATCATGTGTGACTTCCCTAAATATTTTTAAATAGAATTGATATAAAAAATATTTTGAATTTTACCATCGACTTTCACATGAAAGACATTCAAATCCTAATTTATATTTCCATCGTTTTGAGCGTCGAGCATGATTTTCAATTATATTATGATGTAAATCTTTCATTTGAGCTTCCAAAAGACTCAAACAATCACGAATTGGACTAAGAGAACTAAAATTTAAAAATAATACATATATTATATCTGAATTGTAATCTTTTAGCATTATTTTTCTCAAAACTTTAGAAATCAAAAAAGCGTGCAAATAAAACTCTGCATGACTTATCCTATGTCATAGATAGGAAACTCCAATTTGCTGTAAGCCTGAGGCGTAGTCACTGCCTTTGTATACATCTTTCACAGAATTTTCAAAGTAAATGCTTGAAACTAGTCGAAAAGTTTTTGACGATTTTTTTCAAACATAACGCACAGTCTTGACTCAACAGTGATTTATTATATTGATTTAATAATAACTTACTTGGTGACTTTTTCTTCAGTATCAACTTCAGTAACTAATTTTTTTAATTCATTTATATTAATTATTGGATTCTATTCATAGAAAACATGTTTTTTTTTTAAACATTTTATTTCAAAAAAAAAAAAGAAAAGTCGTTTATTTATTTTCATAGTTTACCTCAGTAAATAATTGTTGATTATCAATTAATGGTTTAACAATCGAACGAAATTGTCCAAGTTTTGTTTCCAATTCACGTCGTTTTTCTTGATGACGTAAATCCATTTGTTCATAACGTTTGACATTATTAAGTGAAAACTGTAAGATATAAATCAAATTCATAATTAAAATTTTAAATATTTAGACATTTATTAGATAAGTTTTTCTTTCTTTTTCTATTTACTAGCTGCAATCAAGATGAAAAACAAAATAACGAATAGATATATTTATATATATATATTTTTTTTTATCACCAATGAAATAAACTAAAAGGAAAATATTTTCTTTACTTATGATAAAATAAAACTCAGCATGAAAAACAAAAATAAAATAAAAACTCAACATTAAGTTTAAAAAACATTTTTCAATTAGTCAATCACACGAAACAAACAAAACAAGCTGTGTGCAATAACAACATTCATAAAGCGTTCGATGAATAGCATGTGAATCGATTTGGGTTATTAGTAGAATGAAGAAGAAGCATGGTTATTGCAACTGTTGACGACGCCTACCTGGCTGGATTTCATTGCTTCTTGTAATTCAATTTGATGAGTTTGTTTTGTATAATCTAATTTTTCTTTCAATGCATTTAATTCACGTTCTTTTAATTCAAGTAGTTCACGAAGATTCTATTGTTAAAAAATAACACAGAATGATGTTATTTTTGTAAAGAAAAACTTTTTTTTTTGAGAATTTTTACATCTATTGAACTATTATCAATATTTGATTGTTTAAATTTCATATTGGCTAATTCACGTTCAAGTTGTTGAATTTTTATTTGATCATCATGAAGTTCAGATTTAAGACGATCAATTTCCAAACGATATTGAGTTTCATTTGTACGCAATCTTATAACAAATATATATATATACTTATAAGAATTTATTTAAAATAAAACAACTATGATGTCTTATTGATACTTTTGAAGTCTATTGGATATAGTTATAGTTTACTATGATTCTCTAATGAATATATGACATGCATCTAAAATATATATATTCCATGCCCTCGATTCATGTTATCAAAAAATCAGTTAGAAAAGCCTCTACATGTTTTAATTCATTGATATTAGCTTACAATCTATTTGAATTGGTTATCGTCATATTTGACCTGGAATTTTTATGAAATAATTTCAACTATTTAAAATTCATTATTCATGATTAAATAACTTGTTCTTTTTTTTTTTTATACATAAAATTATTCCTATAAGAATGTAATCTCAATCCTATGAATGCACATAGCTCTAGGGGGACAATGATTTCAGTGCCCCAATTTTTTGGGTAGCCACCGGAAAACTCGAGAAAATGATACTCCAGACGATGATTATAGTTTGTTGTGAAATGATCTGGAAATTGATTATTCGATCGTACTTATTTGACCTGAAGTTACTAAGACATACTTATCAATATGTAAAGAATATCGGTACGAATAAGTTCTATTCGGAAAGTAAAAGTAAATTAAACAGAAAAGCAATTCATCCAGAAATGTACAGTTTCAATTAATCTATCATTGACTTTCAGATCGGAATTGTACAGTCGTTCTGAAGATACGAGATACTTTTTTTTTCTATATTCAGAAAGTAGCATATTTCTAAGTTTAACAAAAGATTTAGAAATGAAAAAGAAAATAAATTCTTATTTAATTAATATTACCTTTCTGTTTCATCTTTAATTACTGACATTTCTTGAATTTGAATACTCATTTCATGTTGAACATGTTTAAAATGTATGATATATGATTCAAGTTGATTTTTTAATCGTTCATTTTGTAAATTCATATTTTTCAACTAATTAAAATAAAATAAAAATATTATCCTAAAAGAAAATTTTTTTTTACTTGTCGTTTATTATCAATTAATTGTTGTTTTAAATCTTGTTCTGAATCATAAGTTAATATTATTGATTGTTCATTATTATTATTATTTGATATTCTTTGTGCAATTTCATATGTTAAACATTTTAATGTTAAATAACAAATATCTTCATCAGATTGTGTAAAATTTTGTTTATCATTATGTATTTTTGAATAATTTACAAATGAAAGATGTTGATTTTCTTGTTTAAGTCTTTCATTTTCATGCATATAATCAAGTATCATACGTTCAAATTTAAGTGTAATATCTTTAAGTTTTTTATTTTCAATTTGTATTTGTTTAACAAAACATTTTAATTGTTCACTTTCTTTTGACCATGCCAACATTTCTTGTTCAAATGTATGACGTGAAATATTCTGATCAGATGATGATGGTAACCTTCAAGAAAAAAAGGAGGACAAAAAAAAAAAACTTAAGTAAATAAATGTAAGTTACGAATCAATGTCCTTGATTGTTTGAGTGTCAGCATCTGTTTTTGAAGGTTGAAACGTTTCTTTTTTAATTTTTTCCATTAGAGTTATACGTTCATGAAGAAGATTATCTATTTGAGATTGATATTCATTTATTTTCAAATCAGTAGAACTGAAGTAAAAAAATAGTTTTCAAAAAAAAAAAACAAACATATGAATAATAATACCTATCAATATCAAAACTTGTTTGTGATTGTATACTATTGACTGTTAATGATGAATGCTGTTGTAATTGAGCTAATTCATAAGATATTTTTAAATCATTCATTTTTTTAATTTCATCTTGTTTCCATTGAGATAATAAATCTCGTTCTTCAATTAAATGTTTGATTTCATGTTGCAAAATTATTTCATTTTCTTGAAGTTTTTCAATTTTTTTTTGATGTTCTTCAACAATTGATAAACTATTAGATAAAAAAAAGAAAATGAGAAAGACATAAGTGATAATAAAATGATAAATACCCAAGTGTTTGAGTAGATACATGATTTGATTCATGTGATATTAATTCTTCCATTTTAGTTAAACGTTCGTATTCAATTTGATTACGATACGTATCAAACGAACTACAATATCAAATAAATTTTATTTTTTATCATTTTTTTTTTCTTTTTTAAAGTGGTATGTTATAATCATATCTTTTCTTTCTTTCTTCTTCTTCTTATGATCATAGTTACCTTTGTATTTCTTTTATCTCATTTTGAAGGTTTTTAATAAATGATATAATATGATTAAGATTTTCAAATATATTTTCATTTGATGTAGGAATTAAAATTGAATATTCAAAAATAATTTGTTGAAGTTTATTTTTTATTTCTTGAATTTCAGAATCAATTTCAGTTTGAGTTGAATTATTATTTAATATTTGAGATTCAATAAATGAAAATTCAAGTGAATTTGTTTGATTAATTAATTGTTCAAATAATGTTGAACTTATTAATTCACATTGAATATCAACATCATGATATTGTTGTTCTATTTCATTTTTATCCATAAGATCAGGTGAAGCATCATACCAAGTATTTAAATCATTATCATCTAAGTGACTTATTTGATCAAGTTGAAGTTTTTGTGTATTATTGTCAATTATTGAATAACTAAATATTAAAGATTTAAAATGAAAACATAAAAATTAATTAAAAAAAAAATGATAAAATATATTCGTTGAGTTTTATATGATATTTATTATCAATTTGTTGCTTTATGATCAAGATGTTATTCGTTCTATTCAACTCCAAGTCATGATCTCTTTTCTTAACTGAAGTTTATTGCGATGAAAGTAGTTCGATACAGGCAAAGAACAAATAAAAAATGAAGAAATTATATTCTTAATCAAGTGACGAAGTACTTTTATCATATATTGGCTATAGTCATGATAGTAACCGTGAGTTACCAGAACTCTTCTGCTCATAGATCGCGTACAAGTTCAGTAGTCAGAATCTTGATGAAGTTGATGGATTAGAGAGTAGCGGGTCCAGATTTTTATGGACCCGGGCCCGGACCCGGACCCGGTCGGGTTCAGACCCAGACATGACCGGGTCCAGACCCGTTAAGTGTTTCGCCAATATTTAGCACCATCTGTATATAGGAACAAGTAAAGACTCATGGTTTTAGCTAATTATTGGCTATTCTCAGAGGAAAAGTGTATATACAGGTATTTCCTGTTGTTCACTTGTTCATCATGCAACATGATGCTTAATAATTAAGATTTTACTGCTTAACTGAAAAGAACATTATGCCAACCAAAAAAGCAAATTAGAGAATTAATTGATAATCAAAACTCATCATTAAAAATTCCTAAACCAACAGTAACTTATTAATATTCGTTTACTTTTTTGTTTATTTTTCTTGTTTTTTTCAACTTCATTTGTTATTTGTATTTCAAATGACTTTTTAATTTCAAAACTAAAAATAGCCAAGAAATTTTGAAATAGAATACAGAAAATATTATACGATGACCTAAACTCTCCAGTATTTAGATTAGACTCGCAGTTGAATGCAAACCGGGTCTGAAAGTAAATCACATATAGACCCGGACTCAGGCCCGGACCCGGATGATATCAAATTTCTAGACCCGGACCCGGGTGGCATTAATTTTCTGGACCCGGACCCGCTACTCTCTATGATGGATGCAATCTAACTGCGTTAAGTTAGTTCTGTAATGGAAGTGACTTTCGAAAAGTTTCTCAAAAACTAATTACAGCTGTAATAGACAATTTTGAAGGATATGTGTCCCAAAATAGATATAAGAACACAGTCTCAATGTGATTAGCAATAGTAGTTATATCATATTTCATATTTTAATTTTATAAGGATTGCGCGAAAAGCTATTTTCAATATTTTTTTCTTTCAGCCTTTCAGTAATTAACTAAATCTTTATATTAAAAATGTTTACTTTTGTAAATCATTGATTTCACTTTGATATTTTTCTGTTGCTTGATCATATTCAGATTGTAATTTAATAATTTGTTTTGTTTGATTTTCTATAATTGAAATTAAACTATCAAGACGAACATTTGTTTCTTCACTAATATCTTTAAATAGATCTGGTCTTGTAGTTATAATATCATTAATCTTATTATTGATTGTTTCTATTGTACATTTTAATGTATTATTTGTTTCAATTAATTTCTTATGTTCATCATCATCATCTATTTCTTCTAAAAGTTTTTGACGTTCATTCATGAGATTTTCAATTTGATTTTTATATTCATTTAATTGCTCTTCAATTTCTTTCCTATATTAATGAAGAAAATTGTTTAATTAAGGAAAAGATTTATAGTAATTTGATCTCAAACTTAGATTTATTCTAAAAGACGACAATTATTCATAAGTAAAAATGATAACTCATTTAATTCATGCATGATGATACCTTCTATGTCGTTCAAGTCAACTACCGGTTCACTGCAGTTCAATTGACAGGATACATTTAACAGTGTCGGTAGTTATAGTATTACAGGCTGTACCATGAAAACTGGTCATAGCTTGAATATGTCATGGTCTATCTGCTAATTATTGCTTTACTGTTTTCTTTTTTGCTCATACAACCAACATCATTCAAAAAAAGAAGCTTGATCATGGTCGTATGTCTTTTTTTCTAGATTATTCATAGTTTGAGAATATGCCAAGAGTCAAACAAGACTCGAGACTACTATATCTCAATTGAAACATGTTTTCAAAACGTGCTATCCTTTAATATGTTCATTAGTTTAGCATATCAAATTCAATAAAAATATATAAAACTATGTAAGATTTCCATACAATCATGAAAAATCATACTGAGTTTGAAATCAAAGGACTATAGTCAATAGTTACTTTTGTTTTTTAAGTTCATCTTGAGATTCGATTTGAGATAAGAGAATAAGATTTTTTTCATTCAGATCATTAAGTTGTTTATCTAATGTTTGAATACTATAAATACATAAAATCAATCTTTTGATATATATATATAATTTATTCTGTTAAACTTACTCTTCATCTGTTTGAGTTTCTACATTCTGAGAATCAATCGATTGTTTAAGTTCAATTTCATGTTGACTAAAAAAATATGTTTTTAGAATATTGATATTAAGAATATTGTTTTTTTATACTTTTGAAGTTCTTTTATTTCATTTCGTAGTTGTTCTTCGATTAGAGTACGTTCAGTTTGTAATGTATTAATTTTTATTGTTTGATTTTGAACTATTGAAATTAAATGATCAAGACGTTCATTTGTTTCTTGACCAATACCATCGAATAGATCTGGTCTTTCATTAACAATACGATAAATTTTATATTTCAAAGTTTTTAATGAACGTTTTGTTTTCTTATATTGATCATCATCATTTGTTTGACATTCATTATTTATTGTTTGTATAGATGATAAAGTATATTTTTCTAGTTCTTGCAAAAGATTTGTACGTTCTCTCATGAGAATTTCTATTTGATTTTTATATTCATTTATTTGCTCATCAGTTTGTTTTCTAAAGAAAAAATGAGCATTGTTAATGAAAAGAGATATTTTAAGATTTACTTTTCACGTTCTATTTCAGTTTGTAATTCTGTATGAGAATCAATCTGATTAGCAAGTGAAAGACATCTTTCTTTTAAAATTTTTATTTGTTCTATTTGTTGTCCTAATAATTCATGTAATGCATTAATACTAAATGAAAAGAAGATTTAATTAGTATAAAGAAATATTTAAATTCATTTTTCTCTCACTCTTCATGTGTTTGAACTTCTACATGTTGATAAACAGGTAATTGTTGTTTTGGTTTAGTAAATTCTTCTCGTATTTGATCATTATTCTTTTTCAATTGTTCAATTTCACGTTGACTAAAATGTGTTATTTTAATAAGTAGGATTGTAGAAAAAAAATTTAACAACAATGTATCTTTTTTTCGATTTAGACTTTATAGAAACTGTGAACAAAATGAGTACTCATGGCATTTTCTGAGATATTACCTTAAAAAGTTAAAAGTATCATGAAAATTGTAAAAAGCGAAAGACAACTATAAGAGTTTCACGACAGAAGATATATAAGAGTATAAATATGTTTTTGTGAAACTTTTTCCCACCATGTTAAATATAAATCATTATGATTAAAGCCTTACTGTTCTGTTGAAGACATTGCTTCTTGTTCAAGAAGTTCATTGCGTTCTTCTACGAGAGATAGCAATTCTTCTTTGTATTTCGTCGATGTTAGTTCATGTGTATGCTTTGTTTCTTTCAGTTCAAGTTCAACTTTACTAAGACGATCACATAATAAACTTCGCTCTTCATTGTTTTCATATAATTTTTGTTGTAGCTCATCAATCTGCGTTTGATAATCTTCGACAATCGAAGAACTAAGCAAAAAAAGGTAGATCTCGAGTGAGTGATGTTTGAAGGATTTTACCGAATATCTTCAGATGGTGCAGCAGATGTAAGTTGTTCGATTCTCACTTGTCGTTCATAATTAAGTTCATTTTGAATTGTTTCCAAAGATCTACAAAGTTTGTTATTAAAAGGAAGTGAAAAGTATTTTTTTTCTCACCTTTGAAGTTCTTTTATTTCATTTCGAAGTTGTTTTTCTAACTGATCACGTTCAGTTTGTATGAGATCAATTTGTATTGTTTGATTTTCTACTATTAAAATCAAATGATCAAGACGTTCACTTGTTTCTTCACTAATTCCATCAAATAGATTTGGTTTTTCAATAACAATACGATGAATTTTCTCTTTGAATGTTTGTAAAATACGTTTTAGTTTATTATTAACTTGAATTAGTTTTTCATGTTGATGATCATCTGTTTGACTTTCATTATCTGTTTTTTCAATTAAAACCAATTCGAGAAGTTTTGTATGTTCTTCTGTGATAAGTTCTAATTCATTAGTTTGTAATTCCATCTCTTTCCTATATGATAAAAAGAAAAGAGTTCATATAATTGAATAATATCAACTAGGATGTTTACTTTTGTGTATCAAATTGAAATGAAAGCATAAGATTTGTTTCATTAAGTTCGGCGAGTTTCTCTGATTGTTGTTGAATAGTTTCTTTCAATGATTTAATTCTAGAATCAATTGAGATTATATTTTGAAAAAAAGAAAAAAGATCGAATCATTGTAACTCACTCTTCATTTGATGTTCTAAATGTTTGTTTGTATTCTGTTAGTTCGTCTCGTAATTGTTCAACTTCTCGTTGACTGAAGAAAAATCAAATTAAAAATTCGAATATAAAATAGAATTTATTTCATACTGTTCTATTGATTGAAGATTTTGTTGTTCAACAAGAACATTACGTTCTCGAACAAGTGTTTCATATTTCGTTAATGTCGAATTTTGATCATCTAATATTTTTCTTAATTCAAGTTCAATTTCATTAAGACGTTCACGAAGTAATATTTGTTCATCTTCTTTTTCAATAAGTGTTTGTTCAAGTTGATTAATTTTTGTTTGATAATCTTCAATAATTGATGAACTAAAAAGTAAAATAGATTTTAAAATGAAAGTTTGTAAGATCATAGAGTTTATTCAAAACCTGATGTCTTCAGTCATAGGTAAAGATGATGAAGTAGCTAAAATGTGTTGTTGACGTTCATAATCAAGTTCAGATTCAATAGTGAGTAACAAACTATAATATTTAAAGGAAAGATTTTGCTTGTACACTTCTATTATTTACCTTTGAAGTTCTTTTAATTGTTGTTGATATTGTTGATTAGCTTGCTGATGTTCAGTTTCTATGATATGAATCTTTTTTGTTTGATTTTCTACGATTGAAATTAAATGATCAAGACGTTCATTTGTTTCTTCACTAATACCATTGAATAGATCTGGATTTTCGTTTACAATTCGATGAATTTTATCTTTTATTGTTTGTAATGCTCGTTTTAATTTATTATTAACTTGAACTAATTTTTCATGTTTATAATCATCTGTTTGAGTTTCATTATCTATTTTTTGAATTGTTACTGAAGGATTTTTTTCTATTTCTTCTAGAAGTTTTCTACGTTGTTGCATAAGATTATCAATTTGATTCTCACGTTCAATTAATCGTTCTTCAATTTCTTTTCTATATCATTTAAGAAAAAATATTTAGTGAAAAAAACAAACAAACAAGAGAAACATTAATGAAATATATTACTTATGTTTATCGAATTCATCTTGAGATATGAGATGTAAATTTTTTTCATTTAATATATTAAGTTCTTCAGTTTGTTGTTTAAGTATTTCGTACAAAGATTCAATACTAAAAAATACAAAATACATTATCGAGAAATTACCATACTACTCACTCTTCAATTGTTTGAATTTCTACATGGTGATAACCAGATGTTATTGTTTGTATTTGATCATTTTTCTTTTTCAATTGTTCAAGTTCACGTTCACTAAAATTTATTATTTTAAGAAATAGAAGTGAATCTTTATAATAAAACAAAGGTTTTCGGATAATTCACGAAGAAACGTTTGTAAACATCAAATCTCTTTTGAATCAGGACTATGTGGATGTGGATAATACTGTATTCTGAATCTCTCACTTAAGCCCATATCCACCCTTTTATAAAAAAAAAGATGACTGTGCCATAAGAGTCTATATTTAATGAAAAGATTCAATCGGTCAAAGCAATGAATTAATAGCTCATCAAAATCTACGTGATGTATATTGTCCTAACTCAAACGTGATTTGATATTTAGAAAAGTTTATGAAACTGAACTATCGAAACAGATTTTGTCTTATGATTTGATCTAAACTATGAATTAAGAATTGATCGATCTCGCAATCTTACTGTTCTGTTGAAGACATTGCTTCTTGTTCAAGAAGTTCATTGCGTTCTTCTACGAGAGACAATAATTCTTCTCTATATTTCGTCGATGTTAGTTCATGTGTATGTTTTGTTTCTTTCAGTTCAAGTTCAACTTCACTAAGACGATCACGTAATAAAGTTCGCTCTTCATTATTTTCAGATAGTTTTTGTTGTAGCTCATCGATCTGCTTTTGATAATCTTCGACAATCGAAGAACTAAACAAAAAAAAGGTAGATCTCGAGTGAGTGATGTTTGAAGAATTCAACCTTATATCTTCAGATGGTGCAGCAGATGCAAGTTGTTCGAACCTCACTTGTCGTTCATAATTAAGTTCATTTTGACTTGTTTCCAAAGATCTACAAAGTTTGTTATCAAAAGGAAGTGAAAAGTATTTTGTTTCTCACCTTTGAAGTTCTTTAATTTCATTTCGAAGTTGTTTTTCTAATTGATCATGTTCAGTTTGTATAAAATCAATTTGTGTTGTTTGATTTTCTACTATTGAAATCAAATGATCAAGACGTTCACTTGTTTCTTCACTAATTCCATCAAATAGATTTGGTTTTTCAATAACAATACGATGAATTTTCTCTTTGAATGTTTGTAAAATACGTTTTAGTTTATTATTAACTTGAATTAGTTTTTCATGTTGACGATCATCTGTTTGACTTTCATTATCTATTTTTTCAATTGCTACTGATTCAAGAAGTTTTGTATATCTGTTTGTGAGACTTTCCAATTCATTAGTTTGTAATTCCATCTCTTTCCTATATGATAAACAAAAAGAGTTCATATAATTGAATAATGTCAACGAGGGTGTTTACTTTTGTGTATCAAGTTGAAATGAAAGCATAAGATTTGTTTCATTAAATTGAGTAAGTTTCTCTGATTGTTGTTGAATAGTTTCTTTCAATGATTTAATTCTAGAATCAATTGGCATTATATTTCAAAAAAAGAAGGAAGATCGAATCATAGTAACTTACTCTTCATTTAATGTTTGTTTGAGTTCTGTTAGTTCATTTCGTAATTGTTCAACTTCTCGTTGACTGAAGAAAAATGAGATTAAAAATTCGAATATAAAATAGAATTAATTTCATACTGTTCTATTGATTGAAGATTTTGTTGTTCAAGAAGAACATCACGTTTTTGAATAAGTGATTCGAATTTAGCTATTGTTGATGAATGATCATCTAATGTTTTTTTAAGTTGAAGTTCTATCTCATTTAAACGTTCTTGTAGTAAAGATTTGTCTTGATCTTCTTTAGAAAGATTATTTTGAATTTCATATCGATATGATTCAAAAGAACTATAATAAATTAAAAATATTCTTAATAAAATATTAATTTCATATGATAAAAATAACCTTTGAAGTTCATTAATTTCATTTTGTTTATGATCATGTTCAATTTGTAAATTTTTAATTTGTACTGTTTGTTGTCCGACAGCAGAAATTAAATGATCAAGTCGTTCAAGAGTATCGTCAGTTGAATTTTGAAATAATTCAGGTTGTTCAACAACAATATGATGTATTTTTTCTTTAATTGTTTGTAATGCACGTTTAAGTTTATTATTAACTTGTACAAGTTTATCATGTTGTTGATCATCAGTTTGAGTTTCATTATCAATGAGTTGTTCGACTCGAGAAGATGCTTGAACTTGTTTTTCAACATTTGATGAAGTTTTAGAATATTTTTTATTCGATTCTTGTAATTCTTGTTCATATTTAGCTAATTGACATTTTAAACTATGAATTTCCCTTGTAAAAATAAAAAATCATGATCATATACTCATTGAATTTATGTCGATATTCTTACTGATTATTGTATAATTTATCTTCTTCAAGTTGACTTCTTTCTTCTATTAATTGTTCTATTTCTTGTTCACTAAAACAAATTAATTTTTTTGGTAATCGACCACAATAGCTTGTTGAAAGGTATTAGAAAAAAAGACTTAGGCGATTCTAGAAACCTCCAAAGGTTTCCTTAAAATTTAATGACCGACATACTGTATAGTGTAGCTTTTTAATTTTACGTAAATAAAAGTTTATACTCTAGATATTAAGCATGATGGGCAATGATAAAAAATGCGTGAAGCCGAGTTTTTTTTTATCTCAGTTCCGGTCTAATGTATATAAAAAGATTATTTGCTCGTAAAATCAATGGTTGAAGTAATAATAACATTACATTAAGAATGCCAGTACAAAAACAAAAAAGCTTCAGTTTCTGGTGATCGATTTCCCTTGGAAAAAACCTATACTTAAAGTATTTTGTATTGGTATAAAAAAGCTAAAGAAAACATGTGAATTCCATGTTTTAATCCTAATGGGACTGTACTGACAAGGTTTTCTTTTAAAAATACAAACCTAAGTATTGACGATGGAACTACTGGTTCAGTTTTTAAAAGTTCAATTTGTGCTGCTTGATGTCCGACAGCAGAAATTAAATGATCAAGTCGTTCGATAGTATCATCAGTGGAATCAACGAATAATTCAGGTCGTTCAACAACAACACGATGAATTTTCTCCTTAATAGTTTGAAGAGCACGTTTGAGTTTATTATTAACTTGTATAAGTTTATCATGTTGTTGATCATCAGTTTGAGTTTCATTATCAATCATTTGTTTAGAAGATGTTTGAATATCATCATGTTGTTGATTATCAATTGATGTTAAACGAAGAGAACTTTGTATATCAATACCATGAGATTGATTATTGATGGAATCTAAACAATTTTTTAAAATTAGAATCATATTTTGAATAAGAAAATTAATTTACTATATAATTGTGAATTTAAATCTTTTAAATTTTTATTTTCAATTTTAATCTCTTCAATAATTGTTTTTAATCGAATTATTTCTTGTTGATTTGATAATTGTTCTTCTATTGGTATTTGTTGTTTTGTAGTCTCTTCAATCAAATTCTTATTCAAAATTGATTCTTTTGTAGTTGATAATTGAAGTTCATCAATTAAATCACATTGAATATCAACATTATTTGATGATTTGATTTCGACCGAACCTAAATTGAAATTTATTATAGCTTAGTTTGTTTATTCACAATGAAAATTATCCTTTTGTAATCATTTTAATAGTAAAATTCACAAATCTTCTTCAATACTCGTAACGATACAATGAGCCGATGCTAATTCGGTTAGAAAAGTCTTTCTCTGTAAGCCTGCATGTATCTAATTCGGTAGTCGAAAGCTACTAATTGCCTTTATCAAGATAAGTTGTATGATTACAATATATTCAGTACATTTTTCAAATATTATTAAATGATTGTCGACTCCAATTAAGTATGAAAATATAGCTAGATTAAAGCAATCATTGTTTCTTCTAATAGTGTCTCTTATGTAAAGATATTCATCATTTTTGATCAAGAACAAAAAAAAAACTTTAAAGCTATGTAATCGTAGTTATCGATAAGGATAGAACTCGAAATTTAAGAAAATTCATTGCTATTTAATTGTAAATTTTTTTATATGCAACACTCGACAAAATATTTTTATATGATCATTCATATTAAGGTGTTGTTTCCTGTAAGTGTAAAAAAAAATGTTGTGTTACTTTCAAAAGAGTGAGTGTTTAGTGGGTGTAAAAACAGCAACATCAATCTCTTAGAACATCATGAAAGAAGTAACGAAATATGTATAGATCCCCTAGTCCTCATTTCAGTTTGAAAATAAGTGTCTTTTCTTTCCTTTTAAATTCACATTGAAGTGAAATATGTCGTTGTATGATTCATATGTATAACAGAAGCAGAGCACGAGAAACATTCGATATTGTAGCTAAAAGTTTTTAAAAGCAAATTGTCTATGAAGCCAGACCATAGGCAATGGCCATGTAGACTTGTTCTCATTTTCCTATTCATAAAATTTGATTTTTGAAAACTCTCGAACTAATATTCATCATTGACAGTTCATATTGTACCTACAGGAATGTCTTAGTAAGACCAACGAAAATCTAAAAGAGCTCATCTTCATGGATGTTTAGAGCCAAGCTATGATCGTTTTATTGAATTTCTGATACAACTGTAAATATATGCTGAAACATCAAAACAGCAAAATTTAGATGTAAAATTTTGGTCATACATAGGCCGAATGATCTAAAGAACATCCTGAGAGTTTCCGCTAAAAAGGATGTTCTCCGATCGAGGTATTGATTTTCAAGTAAACTTGATTGTTGCAACATATCTTTAACAATTGACTATTTTTTGTGGATATCGTCTATCTCGAGGAGAAAATATTCTCCGCTGAAACTTTCAAGATATCTTAATGGTCGACAGACCCATGTATGGGCTAAGTTTCAGATCGAAGTTCAATAAAACAATCATGTAAGGTCTCAACGGACAGGTATAAGTTCGAGCGATCCCTTTCTAAATTCTATTCTGTTCTATTAAATATTATTAAGTCGTTATCAATTGCATAATCAATGTTTGAAATGCTTCTTAACCGAAAAACTCGATTGTTGAAGTTTATATCAAAAAAATTTCAAAGCTGAAATCAAGATAAATTCATTAACAAACATAAATCACTTTCAATTGTATGTTTTAATAATGAGAAAAATAAACATACCATGTTCAATTTCATGTTGTAATTTATCTTGATAGATTTGTGCATTATAATCTTTTAATAATTGATTTTCATTTAAAAGTTGATTATATTCTTTTTCTAATTGTTCATAATTTTTATCATTTAATTTATCATTTAAATTTTTAATTATTTCTTCTGAATATAAACGTTCATATTCAATTTTTTGAAATTTTTCTTGCATAGAATTTATTCGTTCAATTAAATCATTTTTTTCATTAGTTAATAAATTACATTCTTGTTGTAATGCTCGTAAAACAGTTTCATTATATAATTCTTTAGCATTATCAGATAAATATTGTTGATAAAGAAAATAAATTGTTATTAATGATAAATGATTAAGTTCAAGATTTGGAATTGATGTTAATTTTAAATTTTGTTTTGATAATATTTGTTGACATTCTTTAATAAGATTATTTGAAAGATCCATTGATGATTGAAAAGATATTTCATTGATATATTCATTTAATTGATTATTAATTTCATTTGTATTTAAAGAATCTTCATCATTTGACTAAAACAAAAAAAAAACAAAAAAATAGACTTGTTCGTTCTATTAAAATATTTTGAAGAAAACCGCCAAGGATTAAATTTATTTTTATCCTTTTCAAGCTACAATGACTGTCATTTTGTTCACATGTTAGTTTTTTCATCATGTGTCACTAGGTACATTATTCAGCATATATCTAATAGGGATCCGGACAGTTGCTCGCGGGACAGTTGCTCGCCGGACAGTTGCGCGCGGACACTTGCTCGCTATAAGACCCTATGTAACTGTTATAGCGAGCAAGTGTCCGCGCGCAACTGTCCAGCGAGCAAATGTCCGCGCGCAACTGTCCGACGAGCAAGTGTCCGCGCGCAACTGTCCGGTGAGCAACTGTCCTAAACCCATCTAATAAATGCTGTATTTAAACCTCGGCACCGACAGCCATAGGATAACCCTGGACAAGTTATTAAAGAGTGTTTGTCTCGGATCATCTGTTCGATAGCATGTCGACTATGTTGTGACATACACCTACTTTTGTTCAGAGTGACAGCTGATTTTACTTGCAAAAAAAGCTATTGAACTATTGAATCTACCGTTTGGCAATATTCTATATCTCACTCAAAAAGATTAGAATATTCTTACGCCGTTAAAAGTCGTGCATCTATGATATTTCGATAACTTACGACAGGCAAAAATTGATGAGATATATCTGTTTGACATTGTTGATGAGTTATATCAATTGGATCCATTTGTGTATGATGATGTTTATAAGTTAATGGTATTGTTTCAGTAGCAATATGTTTTGGTTCTTTGTGTTCGTATTGAGTATATTTATCAATTGTTTCACATAGATTTGCACTTGGAATATTTATTGATTGAAGTTGAGACTATAAAAAAAGGAAGAAGAAAAGAGTTAATAAATATATTAAAAGAAATAAAAGACGAAAACCTGTTGATTATTTTGAATTAAATTTTCTTGTTCAAGAAAACTTGATTCTGCTGCAGAATGATGACCAACAACAATTGATCGATCATTCATTTGATTATTTAAATTTTCATTTTCGATAATAAGTTCTTTATCTATTTGATCAAGTTGTTCGCATTGTTCTTTCATTGCAAGTAATTCTTGATTAA